AATAATTTCTAAACAAAAGGAGATAATTATCAATAAATAAAATGTATAAATAATGAATCAAAAAGAAATTCTGGGCAGAAATGTACAGAATTTAAACTTAAGAATTCAGTGGAGAAACCCAAAGGATACCTGTTTAGTCAGGAGAACAAGTGAATTTAAAGACTAGTCATTTGAATTACTGAATCAGAAAAGAAAAAAAAAGTAAAAAGAATACCTAGAGGCTTATGAAATAAAATGATGAATAACAAAATACATATTATGGCAATAACAGCAGGAAAAGAAGGAAGAAAAGAAAATGCTTTGGAGAGATCTCTAAGCATGTTGCCAAGTTTAAGGACAAAATTGGATGCCCACGAAGCCAAATACATTATAAGTAGCATTAATCCGAAGAAATCTACATTAAGACATTGTATTCAACTCGTCAAGGGGCAAACACATAGTAAACCTTTGGAAATCAGAAAGAGAAAAATTGATGTGTCACATAAAATTAGGAGTGAATTTCTAAGTAGAAATCTTGCAGGTTGGATGCCAGTGGGATGAAATATTTAAAGTTCTGAAAGTAGAAAAAAATTATCAAATAAAGCATTAGCTGTCTCACAAATATATTCTTCAAACGTGAGGAAGTATTGCTAGTTTGCTGTAAAAGAAAACTAAAGAAACACATATGGTATAACATAAGACTAATGAATTCCATGATGTTCCAACATACAAAAATCAATTTGCAATACACAAATGAGGGAAGAATGCCCAGGGGATCATTTCAATTGTTGCAGAAAAAAAAAAAACAAAACTTGAAAACTTCAGTATCATTTCATGATAAAAACATTCTGTAAACTGGAGAGATGAAAGCTTGTCAACATTACAACAAACCCTTACCTCTGTCGGAAGTGGTGTTGCATATCTGTAATCCCAGAACTGTGGAGGTGGAGGGAAGAATATTAGGAGTTCAAATCCAGCATCATCTTCACAACAATTTTGATACCAGCCTAGATTATGTATGACCATATCTCAAGCAAAACAAAACAAAACTTCAACATGTAATATACTGAGTGATGAAAATGTTAAAGGTGTTTTCTTATGATAATGAACATGACAAGTTTTACCACTTTTATTCAACATAGCACTGAAAATCATAGAGTAGACAATAAAATAAAATGTTCTAAAATTGAAAGTCAAGAATTAAAGTTGCTTATGTCTGCATATGTCATGTTCTTATTTGAAAATATCAGTGATTTTATGCATACTTCTTATAATTAAAGATTAATTTGAAAAGTTGCTAAATATTAAAGCCATATACAGAAATAAGTGATATTATTTCTACTAGAAACAATTCAAAAGCTTTAAAAAAGAATTTCGTGTATAGTCGCCTCAGAAAGAATTAAATAATTATGAGTAAATTTCCAAAAACTATAGAAACCTCAAGAGAGCAAATCCAGAAAATACCCATAATTTGGAAGACTTGATTCTTTTGTGGATTAGAAGATTTAATATTACTAAAATATCGATACTATCTAAAGTAACCTATATATGGAATGGAATCCTATCAAAATCCAATTAGAAAAAAGTATGAAATTTCTAAAAGTTTTGAAAAGTTTTAATAATCTATACATGAAAAATAGAGCGTATCACTTCAAACTTCCATATTTAAAAATTTATTATGTACCCTTATATACCAATGATAATCAAAAAGATCATGTGCTGACAAGAAAGTCAATGCCAAAAATTAATGATATACTATAGAGATTCCAGCAATAAAAACAACGTGCAAGGTCTGAACATTTTTGCCAAAAAGGCAGACTATTAAAAAGTGGATGGATGATGTCTTTAAAAATTTGCTTTGGGATAAAAGGATATCTGATTGCAAACACTTAAAATTAAACCATTACATAATTCACATGAAAAAAATAACACCATAAAGAAGAGACCTGAATGTTTGAGCACAAATTTTAAAATTATTTTAACAAAATAAGGGAAAAGTTCATAACACAGGTCTTGGCAACAATTTTCTGAATGCAATACCAGAAATACGATGTAAAATTTGACAAATCTCTCTATACTCTTTTAAAAACTGTGCATTAGAAATTTATGAAATGAGATAATAGTCGCAAACATCTCAGTTAATATTTATAATAAGTAAGTTATATAGTTCAAAAATGGCAATCCAAATAAATATTCCTCACATTCATAAAAATTTCCAAAGGACATTAATAGAACTTTCTTCAAATATGCTATATGAACAGCCATTGAATAACAATGTAACAATAATCAGGGTACTTACAGTAAAATTATAATCAGCATTACCATCTTCCACTTAGAGTGTGATTCAAAAAATAAACAAAAAAGTAGAACATAATATAGCAAGTTGTGCAGGAGATTTGAATCTTAATCTCTTGTGTTTTGCTGATGTGAAAGTAGAATAGTGTACCAACTATTAAAGGAGTGCAGAGTCTCACTGAAATTACCACTAGCAGCAGCCCTCCATCCAGAAGCAGCTCCCAAGCATACATACAAAAGAAATGCAAAGAGAAACTTGAAGCAAGGTCTTCACAGTGCTGCAGTTGGCAGTTTTCTATCCCCACCTATCATTCTGAAACCAAGTTCTTTATATGTTTAAACTGAGAGTTGGGGACTTCAGGAGATCTGAGGCATCCAGGACTGCATTATTAGACCTACAATACAGGACCAGGAGAAGATTTTCTCTTCTACCATGTTTGAAGGTACTAAGAAGACATAATCAATTTATCAGTCATTATGTGACACAAAATCTGAAGGAAACTTGATATTGTTTTCTGAGGAATCAACGACAGAAAGAACGTCTATTGTTTATGTTACCAATTGTGATATTTCATTATGTGGCCTAAAAAATTAAGACATAAACCTTTAGAGTGTACACAATAGTTGACAGGTTGAGGGAATATTTTGTTTTTCCATGGGGGATTATAAAAATTGATATTTCTATACCTATGTCTACATAACACTAAATGTATGAAAACCATTCAGTATTAGAAATTTTGGCACATGGTTCAACATAGATAAATTTTAGACAAATAGTACACATGGTTAGTTAATTGCTATGAGACAGATACAGAGAAATTTAACTTAACTGTACCTTAGATTCAATTTGCAGAAAGAGAAGGAATGTTGCTTTCCATATGTAGGAAAAGAAAGGTTTGAAAATTCTTTAGTGAGTACTGAGGTTCATGTCTGAAAAAAAACTAAGGACTTTAGTTTTGGAATAAAAATTTCAGGGACATTAAAATTTAGAAATGATTATATGCTTAGTGATTAGTGATTATATACTTTTCCTTTTAGTCTGTAAAATATAGTTTCATTGATTTTTTGTGCATTTCACATAATGCATCTTAATATGTTTAGAGCCTCTCACCCACTGGAACCCCCCACCCCACCCACCGGATTTCATCCATTCTGTAATAATATGTTAAGACTTATCAAGTCAAGTTAGTGTACCCAGATGCCCCTCTATGTGAGTACATTCACTGAAGTCTAGTCAGTCTATCTAGATTCATTTCCTTAAAGAAGATCAAGTCTCCCTCATCCAGCAGTAATCACTGCCAATAGTTCCTCCGCTAGGATGGGGGCCTCCTGCCCATTTCCCCAGTTCTATGCTGGGTTTCTGTCTGATTGATTTTGCATGGGACTTGTGCATGGTGGCACCATTGCTCTAAGTTCATATGAGCAAAGTCCCAGAGCCCTGGGAGACTTTGTTTCCTCATGATCATGCACCAACCCTGGCTCTTGTTATTTTTCCAGCCCCTCTTTCCCAGTGGTCCCTGAGCCATGAGTGGATGAGGTTTAATATAGGAGTCCTATCCAGAGACAATCACTCTGCAGTCTCTTATTCTCTACATCTTGGCCAGTTGTGGCTTTCTATGTTTCTCCTTTTTTATGAAGAAGTTTTGCTGCTGAGAATTGAGAGATGCATCAGTATTCTAGAGAATAGAAGACTAGCGAATCCCCTGTTCTGCTGTGTTCCTCGAGCTTAGGTGTAGAGGTTCCATTGTAGATGTGCAGCTTAAGGCTTGACATCTCACAGACATTTATTCTATGTTTGACCAGTTGTGGACCTCTGCAGTTGTCTCTAAATAGAAGCTTCTTTGATGTATAGTGAATGGTATACTTGCCTGTAAATATATCAAGTTTTAGCATACAGTAAAAAATTACATTTGTCTAGGCATGTGTCAGAGACAGGGTTTTCTCTAGGATCTATGACCTCTCTAGCCATTTGTATTTGGCTATATTTAAAGTGGTACATTTGAATTCCCTCCCTTTGAGAGAGCTTTAAGTCCAATTTGATACCTGTTGATTACCCCCAGTATCAAAGTGCACCAAATCCTCATATATGAGTATACATCCTGATGTAACTTCAGGGGCTAGGAAAATGGAAAAGAACCATGGAGGGAAAGGGAAGGAAAGAGCCCAAGAGAAGGGGAAAGTAGGAAACAGATGCCACCAAAGGGGAAATGGGGAAAATTTGGGGTATTTTACTGGGAAAGGAGGAGGAAAAAATACAAATAATATATTTGAAGGTAACACCCTATTGCTAAGACAGGACATACTTTAGTTATGGGACTGGGAGAAATGGCGTTGGAACTGACCTGGAAGCCTCCTCCATGACAATTATCTCTCATAGTTGTATAGGATAGTATGGAAGCTGCTAAGGAAGACAAACAATCAACGGTTCAACCCAGCTGTACAGCTTACTAACCATAACAATGACAGGTACATTAAGCTATAGTGGTGCATTAGTGGCACTTTTATCATGGGGGCTAAGTATTTTTCAAAATAGTAAAGAAATTTATTGAAAGATAACTGTCTTAGTAGGTGCAATAACTTTTCTAATTTTGAAGCCTAAGGATATCACAGGAAAAATAGACTTAATGAATGCAAGTGGTTCTCCAGAAACAATACTGATAAAATATAATTACCTCAATTAAATACAACATCACGACAGTTTTAAAAATAATTTTGTTTATCGCCGAAGAGAAGATGGCGGCGCTGGGGGAGCCTGTCCGGCTGGAGAGAGATATTTGCAGAGCAATTGAGTTGTTGGAGAAACTACAAAGGAGTGGAGAGGTACCCCCACAGAAACTTCAAGCTTTACAAAGAGTCCTTCAGAGTGAGTTCTGCAATGCTGTGAGGGAGGCATACGAACATGTCTATGAGACTGTAGACATCAGTAGCAGTCCTGAAGTGAGAGCTAATGCAACCACAACGGCTACTGTCGCTGCATTTGCTGCCAGTGAAGGACACTCTCATCCTCGTGTTGTGGAGCTTCCAAAAACAGAAGAGGGCCTTGGATTTACTATCATGGGAGGCAAAGAACAAAACTCTCCCATCTATATATCACGAATAATTCCGGGTGGAATTGCTGATAGACATGGGGGCCTGAAAAGAGGAGATCAACTACTTTCTGTGGACGGCGTGAGTGTTGAATGAGAGCATCACGAGAAAGCTGTAGAGCTGCTGAAGGCAGCCCAAGGAAAGGTTAAATTAGTT